AAGTGTCAAATCATCTTAAAGGTTATTAAGGAGTTTAAAAAATTAATTCTTAAAGCGAGGTGTTACAGAAAATAAATCTGAACAGGATTTATGGGTTTCTATAATGTTACAAGAGTAAATGGTACGGTAAATTTTAGGTTATGTAACCTCGAATAGATTGGAAACAAAACTTTGGTTTTGTAGGGAATTTCACGTGTCTGTCAATGCATTAACTGAGACTAATACGTACAAAACATTCCCATACATTACACGTTTAACGGACTGTGAACGGATGGACTGTCTGTGACACGCCATAACTCGATGTATGGAGGTCGTGGCGAAAGGCACTGACAGCAGTTCGATGATTAATTCAGCGTGGATGTGGAAACGAACTGGCGAAGACTCGGAGGTTAAATGTCGACTTAGAAACGACCTGGGAAAGACGCGGAACTTGAATATGTACTTTCTATAGAAGCAATTAGGTCTGCAAAGGGGTTGAAAGCTGGGGGCAGAGATAGTAGACTATGTTCGATCGGATTTATTGTTTTATTCTAAAGTAACCTTCGACAATGTCGAGATAAAAATTTTTCCCAATCTCTCACAAAATTCCCTGGATCGTCTTTGGTTACTTTTCTCATCGACTCCGCGCCATCTTTCTTCTGCCTTTGTGCGCGCAGACTCATCGCTTTCTTTTTCCCCCGGCTGTATCTCTTCTCCTTTTGCTTCTACTCGATCTTTAGGTTTTCGTCTACCCTCGTGTGATTTTTATTTCATTCTGGCGTCTTTGTTCTACCTTTCACCGGTGTTCTTTTGTTTCTCCCTTTCGTTGACCTTCGATGCTCCCCCCTGCGTCCCGCTAACCCTAAATCTCTCGATCTTTCCTCTTCATCGGCGTCCCGTCCTCGATCGCGGCGCTGGAATCGAACTTTCGATGGAATCGAAACGCTAACGATACCGATCTCTGCTCACGACGTTTAAAAGATGTAATAATCAATCATAAATTACTCAAACACGGTCTACCAACAGCGCCAAAATTAAATATATTTTTTATCGTAAATAAAAATTCTTTGAACAAAGAATTTAATTGTGTTTTAGAATACGAATTTCCTTTTTCTTTTTATTATTTGAATTGAAATTAATTAATTTTCTTGTGTGTCCACGCAGAAAAATATTCGGTTCCCTCGTTTTCTGCGTTATAAGGGACTGGGTTCGCAGAACCTTCGACGGATACCTTCCTAATTACTTTAGAGTCGGATTCTTTCGAGCATGGGAACAGCCCCTGGCGAAAGCCAACCGTATTTTAACCCTCGACCGGTAGGGTGAGATTAAAATAACCCACGTTGTTCTCTCAAAGCACCGACTCTGATTACCACAGACTCTTGGAAACTTTCCACAGAATCTATACTCCATCTTCATTCTGATGCTGAACTTTGACACTCAGGTGTCAGGGAGTTCAACTCTCGGAAACAATAAATTAAATTCATTCTGTACGATGATTGTTCAATTTAGGGGTTCTTAATCAAACGATGTAACATCAGATAAGACTTAAACAATAACGATGACATGTTTGATGATTCTTAAATGATAGAAACGTGGAGTGAGTTGATCTAATAGTTGACAATTATCGAATACGGTGCACAAAAATCCTCATCGATACAATTACAATTACGAATCGCGAAGGTTACTCGAAAATCCATGAGTAAATACCATTAGTATTCCAGTCCTTTCATCACGGATATAAAGAGCGATGATAGCAGCGTATTAGCATACCAGTTGATGAATAATTACATCTACGAAAAGAGAACTCACACACTGACAGTAAGTGGTATGACTGTCGCTTCTGCACAGAAATATTCTCGTTGCCAAAATTCCAGTCGAAGAGTTAAGTGTGTTACTTCGAAGACAAAAAAAAAAGTGCCATTTATCAAGTATAAAGAGACTTCAGCTGTTTATTACGGTTCGAAGCGTGTGGGTTGATTTAATGTTCCTCGAGATCACGTTCTATTTGATATTTTTTGTGCATGATTAGCGAGATGTTTTACGTAACTCCAGCTATGCCGGATCACGTAACGTCGTAGCAATAAACGGCATAAGGAACGTGCCTTTTCCTCGAATAACTTTCCATGCGTGAATAAATATTTGATCGATTAGTCACAATTATCGACGATGACAAATACTTCCCTAGAAATCTTTTTTCCAGAAGACTGAAATAAATGGTACCAATCATTTCAACACCAGCTTTCAACTTTGAGGATCCTGAGGATCTTCATTGAGCAACTTCATTTTCAGAATCATTTAAAGAAACTAACACCTATTTCCTCAACGTAAAATATTACCAAAAGCTAAAATCCCTAGGAACACTAACTCTGGATCGCTGTTGCACCTTACAGAGATGGAATTTGAGAGTCTAGACAAATGCTCTGCATGGAAATACCCTCTATACATTCTCAAATTAAGCAAATAATAGTATCTGTTTAAACATATTTGGCTAACCTAATTGTCCAACATTCTCAGGCACTAAAAATTTTCTTGCAGCTATAAAACCGAACGTCCAAACAAGTATTCTACCTCAAACTATTCTCTATTATTTTCTATCCTGTATTCTTCCACCATACAAATACAATAAACCTACTTTCTCTAACTTGGCAAACTAAACCTTCCAATTCTCCCAGGAATCTTTACTTTCTTCTTTGCTCACAGAACCTAAATATCCCAAAAATCTTGACATATAATTTACATTCTTTCTTAAAATCAGTTAAAGAGGGTACTTCCTTCCCCAGCTTCGGTTAGTCCCCAATTATCCAATGTTACCAAGGACTAAAAGTCCCTAGAATACTAACTTGGAATCACTGTTACACCAAACTAATCCGAACTATGTCTTTATACAAATAAAACACTTGTTCAGGCTTGACAAACTCATTTCCTAGTATTCCCAAGATCTAAAACTCTTGACCCGCGACTCGTTGCTTTCATAATTCGCAAGGCTTCGAGCGCGTTCGCAAAAACATCAACATCGAACCGCAATGAACATAAATAACGGCTTCGTTGTGGTAAGCAAGAGAGTAAGTCTCTGCCAATCGGTCTCGAAACTTAAGGGGCGATGATACTTAAGGCCCCGATACTTTGGTTAGCCACGCCCAACAGCACGTCAGAATTCGGCATGCGATTAAACGCCACGGGAATCGATCAACGTGTCTTATCGCGTGTTCGCGCCGTCTTTCCGATGACGGTCTGCCTCCCACCTGGATCGCTCGAAAGGACACCGAGTTATTTCTGGAAGGTGATTCCAGAGTCGCTGAGAGCATTCCACGGGCATTCCAGCGATTTTTCGCGCGCGTCCGTCATAGAAAGCTGGGGGAAAATCGCTACGGATCCACGAACGAATCGCGAAAGTACTCAAGGAGACATGAAAGTATTCCGTCGCGTACTGAAACGTCCTCCGGCGTCTCTTCCCTTCGGTTTTCTCCTGCAGGTGCTCGAATCCACGTACTATTGCGTCTGACAATGGTACATTGTGTTTGGAGCATCGCTGTTAATATTGAGAGAGTTGCAGAGGTTAGAAGAGGTGGACGCCTATGGGCGTTAATCCCTGCATATCAAAGATAGAGCAAAAGATTAACGGCAACATTTGGGATGATAAATTCAGGAATTCCTCGCGAGCTCCATTCAAGAGCAATGGTAGGAGAAGAACGAGTTCTTGACTGTCTGAGCGCGACCCAATCTGGAACACGTGAGACCGTGAGAGAGAATATACGACACGCGTCGCTGTCGCTTCCGGTAACAGGAGAGTCCGATGACGATGATCTCCCCCCGACAAATCGAACGCAGAAGGGAGAAGAAGGCGTTGGTGCGCCGACGACTGGTCAATGCTCTGTCTACTTGCCTTGCGCTTCGCTGAAGTCTCTACACTACCCATCAAAAGTTCCACGCTATCTTTTAGAGCACGAACAAACACATCGAAAAGAAAGAACGAAACTTTTTCCTGCGAGCCCCCGTTTTCGTGAAAATCGAGTCCAAAGCCGGGGTGGCGCGCCGGGTGTACGCGCGCCACGGAAATTGCTAAACCAATTTTCTCGAAAACAAAGCCTCCTAGGGGAAAACTTTGTACCACGTTTTCGATTCATTTTTCGTCGCAGAATCGTCTGTCGGCGGCCATCGCGAGTGTTGTGGGATGGTAGCACGATGGACATGAATTATGAACGTTATTATGCTTTTGACGGGTAATGTATTCCCTGTCTGGTTTCAGGTCCGCCTCGCGCACGACAGCGTAAGTGTATTATAGTGCGCGTGTGCATCGTACATAAAAGTATTATGTCATAAGCTACGAGGCATAGAGGCCATTCACGAGGACTTTACGCTTGCGAGGCTTCGTAGCGAGTTCCGCGTCCACGTAGGACGTCTCAAAACTACAGGGTGTCCCACTCGAAACAGGCTTCCTAATTATCTTCTTCGGTCGGATAATTCGTATGGTATCAATACGTGAATTTCGTGTGTTAAATCATTTGATAATCACTTTCCATCAATTACTATTGTTGAAAGGAGACTTTTAAGATTGTCATATGACAATAAATTGACAAAATCGCAGGAACCTGTTACGGTTAGAAGCGAGCGTAACGAAACGATCGATCAGAAGCAAATTGAATGGCGGCTAATGGTCATTTATTAATGTCCCTGTCGCGGGAAAATTTCTACTCGGAGAAAATTTCAGTTTTAGCTTGCGTAACGCGTTCCCTTACGTAACCTCTTAGTTGGAAGCAACGTCGAAACAATCGTGAAAGCGTGAGAATTATTTCCTACGTTGTCTTTAGCGAACAATTAGATCCATCGACGTAATGAACAAAAATGTACGATGTTTTCTAATCTTCTCCCCGAGAAATTCGCTCCGTAATTTGATGTTCCCGGTTCCGCCGCAACGAAGATGCAATTTTCTGCATGATCGCGAGCGTGTATCGATCGGGGAACAAATTAAATTTGCTCCAGGTTAATTAGAATAGAGGGAATAACAATTAAATTGCTCTTACCTTGGTGTGTAAAAACGCCAGTGACTTGTTCACGTTTTCGATCTTGTGCACTCGCATGCGGCCATTGTTAGGTTTGGCCAATCGCTCGCCGGAGATGATCTCCAGCAGTTTTAGGAGCATCCTGCCGTCCGCCAAGTCCGTGAACAAGTCGTCCACCTCCATTCGCGCCTGCAAAGCGACAGTAATCCAATCTATAATTATTTTGTATCAAAGAAACTACCTTTAAACTGATTTTAAACTTGGTATGAATCGTCTCAGAAAAAAATCAAACAAGATAAAGACTCCATAATAGTAATAGTAACGTCAATAACCCGAACTCGTAAAAAACAGCTGACATTTACAAGGTTTCTTTACATCGATACAACGGCGTGCGGTGAACGCCTATGTGCGTCCGATGGACACGCGTTAAGCATAGGACGATATGATTTCCGCACACAGCGGAGTCCCCGAATCTTATAGCGAATATTAAAAATTGTACCTTCAGTAGAAAGGAGTTGATCCATTTTGTGAACGTCTTCTTCTGTATATGCAGACGTTCCTCCTGCAAGGCCTTTATGCGGCCCTGCTCGAACTTTAGGACGTCCTCCCTTTGAGTCATTCTCTGCTGTATATTAGGACCACCCCTGTATCTGTCGATTCTTGCCGGTGGATGCGTCGGAATGTATTCGAAGACGGAGTTCCTGTTTTGGGGTGCGGCGCCAAGCCCAGCGCCGGGCACATACTGCGCCCCTATAATCAAACATTTCGTCAACTTTAAAACAGGGTCCACAGTCGAGGGGACGCCATTTTTTCAAACGTAAACATCCTTTACGAAAACGGTATTCGAAGTTAATTCCAATACCGTTGCACTGCGTCGGCAAGTGGAGGGGATGGTCGCTTAGCAACGAGCGGAGCTGGAGGTGGAAGCGTCAGGAAGTGGGGATACAGTTCCCTACTGGATTGGTCGCCTCGATAAGCGTTGTTCCCAACCCCCTTCTCGTACAATTATCGAGGTTCTACCGTATCTCGTGAAGTATTCACTTTTTCATCGTTATACCCGAATACTTTTATATGCAAAATGACAAAAGGAATCTGTTTACGTACAAATACGTGCGATTCTATTAAAAATAAACGTGTAAATAGACATACACCGTAAGTGATTAAACCGTGAAACTGATGGTTTTTACACCCACATTTGTTAGGATTCTACTGTTAATTATGGGGTGCAGAGTACTCGTGCGTATTTCATACTTGCTCCATATTTCCCAGAGCGTATTTTATCGCAGGAAGGAGAACGACCGAGGATGTCGTTCGGTTCCGCAAATCATGAATATTCCTGGACGTTGCTGGCTGTTTTCTTTCCGTCGCGGCGGAACGAAACGAGCGATTTGTGCCCGCGTTCACGTTTATTCGGCCGTCTGCGTGCCCTTACAAGGCGCAAAAAAATTTACGACAGAGTCTTGCGCCGACGATAGCGACAATAAACCGAGGACAATGATCTTGTCGAGTCACCGCGAATACTCGTTTGAGACTCGAGCGAACGTCGTTTGCACTTGTTCTTATTTACTCCGCGGCATATTTTGCGACATACCAGCCACGGCTGGCATTGTCCAATGGATGACGATTCAATTCCGCGGCTCGCGTGCCCCGGGTACGAGGAAAAATTGAAAAGAGGAATTCCTCCAGCGACAGACCAGGTCTACGAACGTCCACCGTGAAACGAATCACGATTTTTAATTGATCGCTTCTACGAACGTCGCGATCGAGCCGGAAAACTTGTTCCACAAACATTTTACGAACTTTATTCGACCAGCGTCGTGCAACATATTTTATTCCAGTCGTTAATAGACAGGAGAGTATGGAAGAAACGGAGGGAACGGTTGGTCGTAAATAATGGATAGGATATCTTTTATTTGGGGTCTTCGAGATAGTCGAGACTTACGACGGTTGCGTTGGATCGGAGATATAAAAATATTTTTGACTTCGTTCGGAGCGCGAGCAAAATGTACTCCATACTTTTTATTTTTGATAATGGTGTACAGATATTGTACACGCTGAATTATTTATTAAACGTATTTGCTGATAGAATTTAATAAATTCAAGCGTTTCTAACCTCAAACCAACGAATGATGCAATCCATGAACAACAATTGGAACTTTTTTAGTTTTTATAACATCGATAGATCAATTACTTTATACTTTTACGACTGTAAATACACTAAATATTGATCTTTTTCGCATTTCACGAACGAAGGAGTTGCCAGATATTCAATTATCTCGACTATTTTGAGCCGCCATTATCTTCGCGACGCGATAAGATATCCGCGGGGGAAAAAGTCACTTCCAGGCTCTAAAAATAGGAAAATGTCATGCAGCAAAAAGATCACCATCGTGATCGTGCATTTTCGTAATTGTTACCGTACTGTTGACGTTCTTCTTATTTTTGTTCGGGCGTGGAACAACAATATCTCGAAAAATTTCTAAGGATAGATAAGCTCCCCGATAAATTCTTCGATCAGTAACGAGAAGATAAGACAAATAAATTAGTACGTGATTTACTTTTCGTATTCATAGTAAGTCCACATATCGATCCTATTACAAATTTATTTATCCATACTTTTTCAACAGACCGTAAGTGTCGTAATCGTGCATGCTGAAATATCTACGACTTTTATTTACACATCACGATCCATCTATGAATAGAAACGAGTCATTATAAAGTCATGTGTGTTTATAAACAAGACCACATTATCCTCTCTACGTGTTGTCAGTACACAAACGAAGTATTTACAACTTCGCCATTGTATTCGATCGTTCAATACCTTTGGAACGATCGTACCCCCTTGTTGCGAACAACATTTAACTCGAACTGGTTTCTTATTAACCGCCATATTCATTATTCGAAGGAAGTTCGAAATAATTAGCTCGATGTACTCGTCCAGTAATTAATATTAATCTTTGCTCGGTGATATGTATTATTCATAAAAATTCTAGCTTCTTCTTGCTCTGCTATAACTAGCCAATGAATCACAATTACTATGAATTTATTGTCTGAAGTATATCTTCGGGAATAAATAAATAATGAACGACGAATGAAGAAAACGCAATTAAATTCAACAAAGCAATTTCAACGTCGATTTAATTTCTGCTCGGTTCTCTTAATTAATATCTTCTAAGCTAAATATTGAAACAACGACGCCAAATCTGCATTAATTGTTCACAGACTCTCGTGGTCGTCGAGTTTCGAGATAGCTTTGGATTAACATAATGCATAATCTTATATGCATAATCAAATATGTTTTAAGTGACATCACACGCAATTACATGAATCATTGCGTACAGTGTTTGAGCAATATTTGTGGATGTTGTGAAACATTTGGTCATAAGATAATTTGAATCGATTGCTCATTGTTTGAAACGACACCTGTCAGGCCGGACCGCCATTTTGATTAAATACTTTCATCCGTATTCGTTAAATATTTCTATATAGCCTCTACAATATTTATTTAAACTCCACAATTATTCGTGATTCTTTTATTTTTTAATGTTTATAAAATCAAGAATATCAATTTGTTGATTGAGGCTTCGTTAAAATGTTATTAAAAAATTTTAAATCATTCTGAAAAAATTGTTTTTGGCCTCTAGAATCTACCATTAAAATTTTTCTCAGGGGCGGCTGAACACCCTGTATAATGAGTTGGTTAAATGGAACGCAAGCTGGGTCGAATTTTGTTTGTGGGAGACGAAGTTGCTACGCCAATGGGGACGAGTAGGTTCAGCGGTTAGCTGGTGTTGAAAAGCGTGCCAATAGGCGTCTGCGTGCAAACCGAGAGGGCAATGACAAGCAGGTAACATCGCAGATTTGATTAGAGTACTTAAGCACAGTCGGTGCTGGTCGTTTCTAAGCTGCTGGAAACCACGTAACGCGATTGTAACAGACGTGTGTACGTGTAGCTCGGATTCCTCGAGCGTGACGGCCGCAGGCACACACGTCTAGCCTTTTCGCGCAAATTACGGTTGCAAATCAGGCGGACGTGGAAACGCATGAAACAGTTTTCTCTTCGAGTGCCAGGGATCACCGAGGTCTTTAGTACTACCAGAGTTCGCTAAGGTCACCAGGAATACCATAGATCACTAAACCCGCTACGAGTATCATACATCTCCAAGGTTTCTACGAGTACCCCATAGATCACTAAGGCCTCTGGGAGTGCCAGAGATATCTAACACCTTCGGGAATGCTACAAATCTCCGAGAACTCTGGAACTACATACCTCAGACCTTAATGAGCAGTTCTAGAAATCTCTAGGGATGAACACTTCTGAGATCCCTAGGTCCACTAAAGATGTCTGACATCTTTGATACTTTCAGGAGTTTCAAATAACTATTTGCAAAGACTACTGAGGGTTTCTACGGTTTACATGCCTCTGAGGCTTCTAACAATCTCGAGGAACGTTAAACATCTTTGAGGTCTAAGTATCAAAAAGTCACTGAGCAGTCTAATGTCTCAGATAAAAGCCTCTAGGAAAGTAGACATCGTTATGGTCACTTGGACGAACACCTCCAAGACCTGGAGGGCTATTAAACACCTTTTATAGTCTCCAGGAGTATCAAGAACGTCTGAAGCCTCCCAGAATACTGAACAGGTCTCGGTCTCTAGGAATCCGAAAGAACTCTAAGGACTCTGACGATTTAAAGAAGTGTTCCAACCACTACCAAACGCTACTATTGCTGAAAGTGTCAGAACCAAAATCCAATTAACACCTAACAAACGTATCTGAAACGAACGCTGGTAGAAAAAGGCAATCTAATCGCTTCGAGACATGTAAAATCGATAAGACTCGGTCAATCTCTAATTACGAGGAATGCTCGACGACGCATAATCCCTTATCTGCTTCGATAACACACGGAACAGGTGCGGTTTTCCACGGGACCAGGCTCTGTGCCCGATGCCATACACCATAAAATGCATTCCAGGCCTAAGCCTGCATCGCGACAAATCCAATCGCGTTTCACAGCCAAGATCTCTCCGCTAGGATTTTATGGACTTCCCGGATCGCATTTTTCAGACCACGATTATCGATTCGCGATATAGCGTACCGTAATAACTGCGTGACATCGCGTCCTTGATCCTTCACTGGTCACCAGTCCCGCACGGTCATGACTCGTTTCACTAAACTTCGAATGTCTCGCGAAAAAAAAATCACTGTTGCAACGATCGTCTGGACGTTCGCGAATGGCGACACAGAACTGATTCAGCTGTTAACTAAAGACCACTGACACACAGCTCTCTTATCGCGTATCGCGAGCGTGTTGTGTCCACTGTTCTTTTATGTAGTCGAAGCTAAGTACATACGGGCGTCCGTGCGCCTCCCACCTTGGCGTAGGAACAGATTTTTCATGATAATTCTAGCCTGACAGAGTTTTTCGATTAAGATTAATTACGTCGAGTACGATTGCTGCGTAAATAGATCATCCAGTGGGTCCCCTGGCTCCTAGCAATGGCTCCTGGAGCAACTGGGCGCTATTGCAAACAGTTAGTTTAGGTAGGAGATTGTTTACAGACCCCATTGTATACACCCCTCCACTTAGGAATAACCAACTATTGCTCACTGGCCTAACAATGCAAAGACTATTTGTTCTGTAGGCAACTTTGATACAGGGTAGGTGATTATCTGTTCAACACAGTAAACCACCTACTATTAAAGGTATATGCACTCATGAGAGATTACTGAAGTTGGATAGGTCATCATC